ACAGGTATTCTCTTCAGAAAATAGGTAGCATTTGTCGTTTGCAATGTTTTATCTCCCAGACAGAAAGTTTTGCACCAGGTTAAAACCTTGAAAAAAATGCTAGAGAAAGCAAGCCCTCTGCGTGATTGTGGAGACCGCAGTAAATATGAACCGAGTCAACTCAAACGGAGGTTCATCTGTGTCTTTTTAATGAGCACAGTAAGTGGAATCATCTGATTCATAAGAATTGGAAGCAAAATGTGATGGAATAATGACTGTCTATTTCCTGTTAAATGGCTGGTCTGGCACCAGGGGTGACCTCCACAGCTGCTGAGAACTATTAGTAACAACCTAACAGCTGTGGCCATAGCCTATCTCTACCTAGATCTGGGCCTCTATGATAACAAAAGGTAATCCTGTGTTCCCACTGAGTCTTTCTGACTCATATTTTACTGGATATTTCAATACAATTTATACTCTAAGGCAAGCAGAGGGGACACACGAATTAAATCAACAATCTGCTTTTTCTCAGTACATAATCTCCACTCTTCACTGGTCCTATGCAGTACCATTCCTGCATCGTAAATTCTCCAGAAAACTAGTATTTGCTGCACTCAAGTTCTTTGGGCAAAAAATAAAAAAATAAAAAATAAATAAACTAGCATATAGTAAGACTGAACGCAGGAAAGCTGAAGTCAGTGGGATGGGTACATGGCCTCTGATGTGCCTTCTATTTAATGAGAACAGGATGGTGTCACAAAAACAAATTCCATTATTTTAAGAAATTTTTCCTTTTGCCAACCTGAAAATATTTTCTCTCTCCAAATCACCAATCACTTATTTCTCAAAATACCACTTTGAACTTCACTAATATAGAAACCTCAAAATTCTAGTTGCCACAATCCCTGCCACTGGGTCCACACCCAACATGCCCCTGGGATTCAGAATCATGGGGACCCACTCCAGAATATTTCTATAATAATAGATTTTTATAGACAGTACTTGCAAAACGCATAATTAACCACTCTGCTGGCTTCCCGCCTCATGCTCACCAAGAGCTTCCAATGTCTGTAGTTTAGGGACAGGTTCATTCATCTATCTGGTGTCTCAAAGCTACCTGCTGAAGAGCAGAAAACCATTGAGGGCAGAGCATTCTCCAGAGCAAGTACCTAGATCCCATTCCTCACACCTAAGGAAACTAAGCAACTGAACCTCCTGTTCTGTATTCTTGGACTGCCCTGCTTACAGGCACTACTGACTACTGGCTTGTGGGTGAACTGAACACATCCAGAGGACAGTGCCCAACATGATTGACTCTTAAATCTTCCCTCCATTCGCAACTGAACTCTCGTCAGAGAATGCAGGTCTCTAATCAAACTCCCAATTTAGTTGCCAACAGAACTAAACCTAAGCACAGTAGTTTTGGAGCTGAACTTGAAAATGATCCAGATTTCCATGCTAAGGTCATCATGCATCAATACATCAAAATGCAAAGCTTGACATTTAGTTTTAAGATAAAGACACCCGAGAATCACATTGGGCTCTTCGTTAAAACCTGAGTCCCAGGGGTGAGTATTAACCCTTCTCTGCTTGAAGGGACAGCTCTACAGAAGATGACATTTCTGTTTGGTAGTAGACATACAATGGGCTGTCATATTTCACGGGTGATGCAGAAAGGCAGACCCAGCAGAGAACTCACTTGTCCCTAGGTTGAGTTTGTCGGATACATCAAGCGGTATCCAAATGGTGATACCAACCTCACTGGTAAGGCAAAGTTCATTTGAATGGTAGTTAACACACTGTGGAAGATGTACTTGGAAATCCCCCAAGGCAAACAATAATAGCAATAATATTAAAAGTTTCAAAATCCCCACTTAAGAGTCTTCCTATGCCTAGACAGTCCTGACGGCAAGACACTTTCTTAGTGGCCCTTCTAAGCAAGGGGCAAGTGTTAGTGGGATTGCAACTAAGTCCTGCTGTCTCCCTATTCCTAATGTTCTCACGGTGCCCTACAGCCAGTTATTAGGAGCAGGGACCAAGGTCTGGGTTCCCTACAAGGTTCCGCATACTTTCATCCATAGCTAGCCTGACGAGCAGACCCCACCCCATTTTATTGGATTTGAAATACTGGCCACCTAGCAAGAAATCTTGGATTCTGCATCTGACTGGACCTTTGGTGTTCTGAGTAGTGAATGAGACAGAATGTGAAAGCCAGTTGGAGCTTTGGAGATCAAGGATGGCTTCACACACAGCCGCATCTCATCCATGAATAAGGTCACTGTCCCTTCACTGACTGGATCCTTTTTGCCTTAGAACTGGTAAACCACAGATGTATACTTGGTAACTTTTCTGGCTCTAGTGTCTACTAGTCTGCAATAAGCATCCGTAACCGGATTTAATGAGGATTTCATCCTTCGGCTGGAAACACTCTAGTACTGCTTTACAGGAAACTAACAATATTCAAACCATAACCAGTGGACACACAGGGCACATCTGTGGTGTTAAGCAGTACGCTACGTGGTTTCCACTTTCAAAACGTCCCCCTTTAAGGTTTTAGGCCCTCTTCTCTCTGGTTACCAAGCAAACAGAAGCTAATTCTATGACATGTTAGCAGCTGGCATGTCCACAAATTGTCCCCAATACCGGAACATCTTTATTAATATGATCTCAAGTTCGCTCCATGTTCAGTGCACTCCACGCTGCCAAATTGATACCGAGCTGGACAGTGAGTTTAGTACTAGCAACAAATAGTACCTGTCAGCTCAGAGGCTGGCAAGTCTCCCCAAGCTAATCACAAGGTTACAGACAACCCAAGAGAAACACGGCTGTCACCTAACCTCAGGGCTGACCAATCCCTTTGCCCTCTGGCCACCACAGAACTGCTTCCTCTGTACAGTGCTCTCACGGTGTACCCCCTCCTCGGCTGGAGGCAGACTTAAGACTCCCCAGGGGGCCTTCAGCAGCCTCAACCCTTTCCTTTGATGCTCCCTTATCCTACCTGGCAACAATTGCCCCTCCCTAAGCCTGACAATTTTTCATCCCACCTTGCTCTGATTTGATGGGTGCCAAGAGTTTCAAGAAGAAATAAGAGGTGACAATCAAACCAAGTTTGTGGTAGAAAAGTCTTCCTGGTAAGGGCAAGAACTCTTAGAATGCTTTAGAAAAGGTAAAATCCATTTCTAGCATTTGAAGAGGCAGAAGTAATTGGTTGAGTGGCAAATCATTTACCCAATCAACAAGCATCCCCGTTTCATACTGACTTGAAAAGATGTCAAATGCATTTCCATTTAAACTGCTTTCTTCACTGTGCTCACTGAGCACAGTGCATCTCTCTCTCTCTCTCTCTCTCTCTCTCTCTCTCTCTCTCTCTCTCTCTCTCTCTCTTCACTTAAAATGGATTGGGAGAGAGGGCTGACAAAACAGAATAAACCATGCATCATTTTGCGATGAAATTATAATTTGTGCAAACCTTTGAAATACAAAACACAAGCTAAATTATAAAATTTGCAAATTATTGGCTGATTTATTCAAAAACAAACATAACAAAATAAAATGATGACTTTAACTTGAACCAAGTTAAAAGAATATAAACCTCCTCTTTATTTTTCCCATTGCCCAGACACCACTTATTTTCCCCTTCCTGTTCTAACACCCACCTCCCACAGCTCTGCTAGGGGCGCACTCATGATTACAGATGGAACTGCATCCACAGGCCTCTCCCATCACTTCAACGACTACACGCCAGTGTTAGAGCGTTGACTGTAATAAAGAAAATTCTCAACACCAAGTGAGCATTGTTTCACTTCTAAGGCTGAGGTGAACGTAAAACAGTCGATTATTGCTTCCACTTATGCTGGTACAACCACCACAAGGCAGGAGCCAGACGCAAACAATCGCACTGTGGCAGTTCCCAAAGCAGTACTACCCTTCCCACACTTGATACGGAGGAGCCGTCTCTCCGGTCTGTACAATCCAAAGGGACCGTCTGTTGTCAAGCAACTTCATTTCTACACATGTTCACATATATCCAGAGAATATTACTGTGTTTAATGCAAAGACTTACTTTTTTAAATGTTAAGAAGTACTAAAAACAATTGTCAAAAAAGACAGTCATGTGATGTCCTGCAGGTACAGTATGTACTTTGTCAAATACACACACACACACGATTCACAATGTGCAACCAAGAGTACTTACATTATTAAAAAAAAAAAAAAACCTGCAACATTTATTTTCCAATCCCCAGAAACTGTAAAACAGCTAACAGAATCAAGGGAAATATTTTATATGTCAAGACAGGCATGTGGGGCATGAGTCAGGATAGAAGCACCAGAACTCTTAAAAGTTTACAAAACTGGCCTGAAGACAGAAGACATGACTCTTTATGAACTACTACATTCAGTTTGTGAGAAGAAACAGTAACACAAGGTCAGTAATATTCAAGAAATATGTGAATCGCTTCCAGCTTTTAACAAAATAGCAAATACTGCTTTTTGATTTTTCTATGAGCCACCTAAATTGGAGGTTCGAATTTTAAGTGTTGCCTCGCCCCATGAAAGGCTGCATGTGCCCTCCATTTGGGTATGTTGCATCTTAAGTATTCCATACATGTCACACATGATAGGTATTTAGTGCCCTAATAAAGTAATTGGGACCTTTTAAAATATTCTGCTGCAATTTCAGGAAACGGTTGCTACTATGAAATTAGAAATAAATAACAGAAGTTCTTGGTTTACAAATCAAAGTTGTGAGAGTAGATTAATTAATCCACGTACTCAGTGCCGGCAACCAAGCAGACAAGAGCCTGCATTGCCCTAGGGGCATGGACCCAGCTGTCCAGAACAACCTGATTAGGTTGAGGAAGGGACCCAGCCTGGTTCTCCAGGCGGACTCTAAAAAGCTTATACAAAATCACATAATTCACACTGCTAACACAATATCCAGAAGATGAGCCCCAAATGACACCTATATTAATGTTCATTTTCAGTGTACAAAAAAACCGTTGTGCTTTTCACAAACCTGATGAAAATTTTCATGTGAAACATTTTATTTCTTGCTTTCTTTGGAAGGAAAAAAATTAAGACTACGAAAAGAGGTGCGCCAGGAGCCAGACTGTAAGATAACATTATACATACAACTAGCCAAAAATCTCTTTAATTTAAAGGATACTGTCATCACATGCCAGATATTTATACAGAGACATATGTACGAATAAGATTTCCTCCCTAAAAGCCATGTTTTTCCAGGACGGAGTTTCACAGCAACCAGAATATAAACCAATGCCTTTGCAGCCGGCCTGGTTACCCACTGAATATGCTTTCCGTACTGAAGTACATTATTGCCATTGAAGTCTACACGTTGTTCTTGTAGGGAAATGTGCTTAAAAGGGGCTTAGTGATCGGAGGGCTATTTACAAAGGGAGTCATTTTTGTTAACAATAAATAATCCTGGAATCGACAGAGACGATCTTGCTCGTGCACACCCTGGACGGCCGCATGCTGCTAGAATATGTACACGGAGTGGAGCGGCAGCTTTGCAGCTTGCCGCGTCAAAATCAAAGTGCGTTCCTCCCGTCTTCACGCTCCCTTCAGTCTTGCTTCTGGGGGATGCAGCCTTCCATCTCCACCACCTCGGGCCATCCTTCGTACTTGTTTGTGTCCTTATTGTTCTTTATGTGCTGCGGGGACACAACAGCAGTGCACAGCTTAACGGATGTTTGCGATCTGCTAACTCGCAATAGCATAACCCCCTCAGCCTCGTTTCAGTAACACAGGTCAACGATGTGGTAACATAAATGACAGCTCCAGAGATTACAGGAGGGACCTCTGTGGGCAGGGAGCTATGTGGCAAACCTTACAAAAATAAAAAACGCGTGTAAAGAAAAATCTCCAAATGTTTTTAAAGGATTATTTGTCGAAAAGTTTACAGTCTATTTGAGTTCTGAGATACCTGCAAATTCGGCTGAAAGCATAGCTGAAATCCTTAGAAACTGAGACTGATAATGCACTGTCGAATAAGGGGGTAATAATTTTAAGTTTTGAAAATTTTTTTAAAAGTCATCATTATTTTAATTATATACCAAGAACTTATAAAAACTATCTGGACATTTTCAGTATTTGCTTAATCTAATTTTCTTATATCTTTTCTGTTTTGGGGGGAGGATGAAGGGGTTCAAAATATGCTTCTCTACATAGCCCTGGCTGTCCTGGAACTAACTTTGACTCTGAGTCCACCCGCCTCTGCCTCCCAGGTGCTGGGATTAAAGGAAAACACCACCACTGCCCAGCACTTAATATAATTTCTAAATAGATGGTTTGAGAATATTATATGAGAAAAACTCAGACACTAACCTGTTCAAAGGGGCTTTTGGTCTTAATCCCCTTCCCACCACAGAAGACCCAGTTATCTCGGAAGCCAAGACTAGTGATGGACGTACTCCCCAGCTCACCAATGAGCCGCCGCGCCTCGTCCGTGAGTCTGAAAGAGAGGACGAGACATAAACACGGGGCACTGCACTTTTTAAACACTTACCCATAGACTCACTGAACGTGAGGGTGAAATCACTTCAGATTAAATCAGAGAATAGAAAAAGATGAATACAGGAAAAAAAAAATGTCTAAAACAACATCTCTATTCAAGCTCTTTAGTGACGAAAGGCAGAAACAAAGCAAACAGTCAAAGCGCGCCCCGTAAACAGCTGCATCTTCTAACAGTTTGTCTGCACTTAGTTATTTCTAAGTAGGTGCACCATCAAGGGAGACCACGGCCCTGATAACATACACAGCGTCTTCACTCACTCCCCAAAGCCTTGTGAATTCCATTGCAATGGAAGAGAAGTGAACACTGATGGACGCTGGGGGCTGCTCAGCACTGCCTTTTATTTAAAGCAAATTTTGAGAAGAGATGTATAAATTGCCCTTTATAGTTATTTAATAAAAATGGACGTCGGAACCACGTGAGGGCTAAATGTTTACCAGGAAGACAGTAACGAAAGTCAGCCTCCAGACAAACTCTCAATTGAAAGGTGCCACTAAAAATATCTGCCGGGATCCCTAAGATGTTGAGTGATTCCCTCTCCTGTCTCACAAAGAGCAGAAACAAAGTGATGACCACTAGCTATGGGGCTAGACAAGGAAAACTAATAGTCAGATACACAGGCTATCTGACATGACGTCCTGCATAAACACACAGAACCACCCCCAACGACGACAGGACTTTTATAGACCTATGTAGATCTGTCCTGCTAACACTCGGAGCACCGTGCTCCACCTGAAAACAGCAGGCCAGTCAACGAGGAAGGTGCTGATCCACGCCTGTAGCAGCCTTCCTTTCTCTAAGGCTTTAATGAACGAACTCCATCTTAAACTGACTTAAGGTGCGGTGGTGCTCTCCATTTCAAGGGGAGCTTTATAAAACATGAGCCGCACCGAGGTAACATTCAGCTTTCACAGATTATTCAGTCACATCCAGAGGACACAGGGACTGCTTCAGACACAGCTGGAAGGCTGTTGTCACCCTGGAGGAAGTTCACCAGTATCAGTGAGAAAATAAGCAAAAGCCCCAGACATGCAGCCTGCCAGACGCACTTCTGCAAAGGTGCAGCGTGAGAAGCAGAACCGAAAAGGAGCATATTGCCTGCGTTCATGAGGAGCCCATGAAAACAGAACACCAAATAATAAATGTTCAGAGGACTGTGGAAATGGTGTAGTGGCTAAGGGCTGGTGCAGCTCCTGCAAAGGACTCGAGTTCAGTTCCCAGATACCGCAATGGCTGGTTCACAGTCATGCGTAACTTCACTTCAATGCCTCTGAGGGCACTGACACACTGACACACACACTGACACACACACACACACACACACACACACACACACTATTAAAAAGAGAGAGAGAAAGCAGGCTTCAAAGCTACACAGAGAAACCCTGTTTCAAAAAACCAAAAAGGAAGAGAAAAAAAAAAACAAGAGCCATGCACCTGAGTCCGTGGGTCTGTGAAGACCCTTGCACGGATGGTTCTCACGTGCTTCTGGCTCCACCTCACGGGGTTCAGCTGTCACTTCCCATGGCTGGCTGGGCTATGGACCACCTTCTGCACTGGAGCAACCCTGAAAGGACTGGCTGAGCCCTGCCTCCCCAGAAGTCATGGTTCTTCTATACACGCAGTCTCACTACGTGCTCCACTGTCTGGCTACTTTTCAGAGAACTCTCTGCTTCTTTCTACACAAGCAAAGGAGCTGCACTACTGACTGGAAGGAGAGTAAAACATACTGCCATGTGGATACAACGCAGTAGGCTCCAGGGTGCCAACCTCACTGCCTCCCGAGAGCCGCAGGGCTCCTTTCACATTGGTTCCTCAGAAAAAGTACAGTTTGCAATCTTGATAAACTGAAATGATGAATGCTAAATTCGCAAACAATAGTAACAACACCCCCTCCCCCCCAATACAGGAGTTATGCTAATGCTGCGTGCTTTAGTTCTTACTGATGGTCATCACCAGCTGAGCTCTTCTGAACCAATCAGTTTAGAAAGCGTAAGCAGATGGCTTGGTGGCTAAGAGCGCACGAGGACAGTTTGAGCATCAGCATGTCCATTAAAGCCAGGGAGGCCACGTACGCCTGTACCCCTGGTTCTAGGGAGAACATGGAGGCCGCAGGATGGTATGTGAGGCTGGCTTGCTAACCGACGGCCAGGTGAGAGACTGTCTTAAGGGAATGAGCAGAAAGCAAGAAGAGGACACCTGATGTCCTCAAGGGCATATACCCTTACACAAGCTTTTGTAAACACACACACACACACACACACACACACACACATACTTTTTTTTTTTTTTTAATGTTGGGAACCAGCAAGATGGCTCAAGAAGATAAAAGCTCTTGACAGGATGCACGAAGATCTATCTGAGTTTGGTCTCCAGGATAGACATGACGGAATAAAGAACGAACTCTGGCGAGTTCTCCTCCGGTCTCCATATGCACACCATGGAAGAGTATGTGTGCTCATTAACACATCCACAATAAATAATGTGTAATGCATTTTTAAAGGATTATGTAGAATCAATTATTTTAGTGAAGGATTTTCTTTACGATAAATAAAAAAAAACTTTCCAATAATAAACAGGAAAGAAACAAAGGGGTCAGGTTTTCAAGGTCATCCTAATGCTGCAGAGGGTTTACCCGGAACAGAAATAGCTGTAATGGGGTCCCAGATCTTAGTAGGACCCAAAACCTTAGTATAACTGACTCCATGATGGAAGTGCCATCCAGGCCATAAAACTCAACATGCATGGTGCTACCTACCAAAACAAAGCGAAGACCTAATCTGTCAAAGCGCACAGTACTGGGAATGCTTCTAAATGGCTAATGAAGTTCTGCTTCCACAAACTGTTCTTCTGACCTGAAGGGTGTCACCCAGGACATGATTTTTATGCTGAAAAGCTCACCCTGAAAACTGCTGAAATTACTGGGGTCCTGAACACCCAGTGTAACTGCTGACTGACAAAGACTCTTGACTCAAACCCATGTCTGAGTAGTCCTCTCTGGTGGACACCCCACCACACAGGGAGGAACAACTAGAGATGGAAGTCTCTGTTCAGGTTCTATTCTTACTGGGAAAGGAGGTATACTCAGCAGGTCTACACCATTCAGTCAAGCCATGTCTCTTCAAGAAGGCAGACCCAACAGGCCTACACCATCTGGCCAAGCCACACCTCTTCTCCCAAGCATAGAGCAGAAAAGGGAGAACTGGTGCTCTGGGATCAATTCTGACCAGCAAGAAAAAACAAGCCAGGACATATAAGTACCAGGAATTCTGGAAGAAGACAGTGATACTCCTCAGTGTTGTGGGAGGTCCTTCCGCTCCTCCAGCCAATAGCCGCTGAGATACCAGCCCATTGGGGCGTGGTCTCTCTCTCTTTAAAAAAGCAGCCACTTCCCTCCTCGCTCTCTTACTTCCTGCTCTGCTTCCAGCGACTAGACTCCCTTCCTGATTGAGCAGAGGGCTGTTGTCTGGGACGGTGATCTGTAAGTTTTTTCCCCTTTAAATAAATAACCATTCTATTAATCATAATTCCAAACTGGTGTGGGATTGTTTGTGATTTATGCCTTCGCCTTCACCTCAGAAGTCTGAAGACTAAGAAATATAATCACAGATGGGTAGAGAAACCAGAGATGAAACACAGTTCCTCGAAAATTCCTATGAGCATGTAGTTCATTGAAAGCAAGCAAAGAAAGCATTGAAAGGAGATATCCCAGTGGGTCAACACACCTACCAACAAGCTTGGCGGCCTACGTTTGATCCCTGGGCCCACAAGGCAGGGAAGAGCCAGTTCCTGAAAACTGTCCTCTGACCTTCACATATGTGCCGTGTACTCCCCTGCCCCCACCCCCAATAAATAAATAAATAAATATAAAACAAGCAAGCGAGGAAAAATAATTTTAACAATATAACAATCTGGGTAGAGAAGTAATTTCTAAATTAGTGCTGCCACAGGACTATACTTAACTGAAAACAGGAAGCTTTTAACGTCTAAGGCAAAGCACATTACTAAAGATGATGCTTTTAGTAATACTATATGAAGACCTGCCATGTCAGAATGAAACAAGACTCAAAACCACTTTTAAAAAAAAAAAATCTGCTATGAAGACAAAAAGAGTAGCAACCAAGTGTAATGAAGAAACCTGGTGTTACAAAAAGAGGAACAGGATCCTGTCTGATCAAGGCCACCTGCCCAGGGAGGTGAGCACTGCACCATAACCAAGCCCAGGGATGCATTTTAAATACAATCTAAGCCTCTGCGTCCACATACATCACACACAAGGTTTCTAAAGGAAACGCCTGATGCAATCTAAGGAAGCGTCAACTGTTTTATAATGAAAAGTGGAGATGTTAAGACATTAAAAGTTTAATACTCCAGGGTTTTCTTTTTGTAAATCGTGTACTTTATTTTTAAAAGTAACCTTTGTTTAATTATTTCTGAGATGACACCCTTCCTCCGAATCCTCCCACATATCCTATCATTGCTCTTTTTCCAATTCAATTCATGGCCTTCCTTTGTCTTGGCTGTCCTGAAATTCACTATGTACACCAATCTGGCCTGCCTGTGCCTCCTCCAGACTGCTAGAATTAAAGACAGGAGCCGCACGTACAGACTCTTGGTGGTGCTGATGTGTGTTCCTAAATAAATACATCCAACATGCTCTGTACATATGCTGGTACTTCATGGCTCCGGTATCACTGCAGAAGAGAAGAAAGATGCTAAGAGCCAGAGGAACAGGAAGTATGCTGTGAGATTTCTTTATCTCCTAGAAGTAGTCGCGGGCAAAGTCTCAAACATGCCTAAACATGACCTGAGCAAGGAGAATAACAACAGACATGTTAACATGGCAGGGAAGGGGCACTCAGGAGGCCTCAGCCCTAGACAAACCACACAGGCAAAGAAGGAATGCTGAGAAATAGTCACGCTGATTGATTATCCAGTTTTTGTTTTGTTTTTTTAAGGCAAACAGGGCCAAGGAAATGATGGCTTGGTGCTGAAGTACTTGCAGGGCAAACAAGAGTACACGAGTTTGATTCTAGAATTGCACTTAGAAGCCCGAAGTGAGAGCGTACACCTATAACCCTGACTCCAATAAAACAAATTCCAATTCCGAGCAAAACGCTAGCTCAGAAGACAACAAAAAGCCCTTGTGAGTACAACAATGAAGGGAAGCATGGGGGGGGGGGGGTAGCTGGAAAGGCACAGGAGCGAATCCAGCCAAGCTAAATGACATCTCTGAAACTTAAGCTCCATGGCAGCAGATCAGGGTGCTGTAATTAGTTTCCTCTATGAATTTCAAGTTAGCAACCAATAACCTCAGAAAACCGCTGTCGTGAGTAGAGGAACTAAGTTGCAGCTGGACGGCACACCTACTGGGGGACACTGGCAACTGTCCGCAAAGCCATCCCTGCAATGGATTAACGGAAGAATCCGGTGAGCAACCAGGTCTCTAGCTTGGTGGCATGCTGCCCTTCGTAAACATTTTTATCAAGAGCTGAAATTTAGACACATGAATGGCTTTGGAGTGAGTACAAAGCCTGGATCACGGAACCCTCCTAGGACACACGTCAGACTCAAGACCAAGCAGGCCCAATCAGTACAATCAAATCTAACAGGAATAAATGAATATAAAGTTCTTCATTTACATTAAATAAAATCAAGTTCAGAATGGAGAAAAACCTGACTTGGCAGTGGCTTAAAAAATAAAGAATGGCTGAGATCAAAGGAAAAGATTTGACAATTTAACAATCTAACTTGACTAAAAATTTATGAGCCAAAAATGTGATTTGATTGCTTAAAGAAAACTAATATAATTCCAGTCTGCATGAATATTCAAAGAAATGTAATCTCTGAAACATGGCAAGTTAGCGTCTCCGCTGTAGCCAGTTCTGGCCAGACCACATCTGGAACACTGGGTTTAATTTGAGACACTCATTTTAAGAAAGACAATAACGAACTAAAGAATGCGCAAGAAATACAGCCAAAAAGGGAAACCAGCGAGAACCTAATATGATAAAAAGGTTTGAAAAAGCTATGTGTATTGAGTCTGGAAAATTGAAAGAAAAATGTCAATTAGCTTCAAATATTTTGGTATCAGGTGACAAGGGGATGCTTTCACTGTTTTGCTATTCCATTTACCCAGCATAAGGACTGTTGAACAGAACTGAGAGCTGGCCCTGAGAAGACAGCAGCTCTTCACTCTGCCCTCAGCTTCTTTTGTTACAGACTGGGAAACAGCTAGGGTACTGGCCTCCAGCAGGTGGGAAGTCCAAGGACACAGTTGAGATTTTAAGAACTAGTCCAGGCTTGCTGGCTGCTTTCAGGTGGGCTTCAGGGCACCCACAGTGCAACCTTCTCGAGGCTACATCAGCATCTCATCAGAGTTCTGATTCCCATCAGCTCAGGAATAAAAGCATGCGGTGGAAAAGAAAGGTCACACGTGTCTAGATAGAAAGGGAGCTTCTATGTTAAAAGCTGACATTATACATATAATAGCCCATAACCTAGACAGACCACTGCACAAGTCACTTTTGCTAAACGAATAAAGTTTAATTAATTAGACTCTGTACTACTTAACTATAAAACCTGCCAGACACACTAAGCTTCGAGTTTATCGATTTAACATTATCGTAAGTTGAGTCAGTGAAAATGCAATGTCAGTGTCCCTCATAAAGTACTCGAAATGTAACATCGGAGAGGAATAAAGCATGCTCATTTTGACAAATCAGCCATAAGGCAACTGAAACAGTGTCCTCACGAACAGAAAGAAAGAGATTAACAGAAGAGAACAACAGAAAACCCAAGTAATCTTAGAGCCTGACACAGCACAGGCACTGGAGATCTCTGGAGATTACAAATGGGTTTTTAAAAATACAGGAAAAGGGTAAAATCACTGCAAGAGAAAATCTACTGGTTATCTAATTTGGAGATGGAAAAATACGTCTCGAGTTTAAGAGTCAGAGAAACTAAAAGGAAAAATCTACAGTCTCAAATATGTAAATGCTACCCTATCTGCTAGAAGTCAAAGATACCTCAAGTTGACAAAACTAAAAGCAAACTGCCTATAAAAACTGCATCTTTAATAAAGGAACTCACTAATATCTTAACATATAAAGGGCTCTTACAAATCAATATGCATCAACCTGAATGGTCAAAGAATAACTCATAAAAGAAAATATACATAAGAGAAAAAGAAAAACCCACCTTGTACACATACACACACACACATGCACACAGACACACACGCGCCTCACATCTATGTCCTTGACCATTAATTTCACTTTTAGAAATTTACCCTGGTGTTATAATCAAAGGTAAAGAAAAAATTATGTAAAAGAATGCTATTCATTAGATAAAAAAAACTTCATAGTTACAAAGAAACTCTTCATAAATATGAGCCCACAGGTCAAACTGCTAAGAGCCATAAAAATGCTACTCAAGAATGTTAATCCAAAAAAAACAAAGAAATGTTAGAGAAAACAGCTTAAAGCTGTTACAGTGTAAAAGAAGTTATAAAACACTATGTACACTGTGGTTCAAATTTCATCATAACACATGAAGAAATTTTCTATGTAAAGATAGAAAGGAAATAGGATTTTTAAAAACTGATAGCACTTATCAATAGTTACCTTATCAATGTAATAGATTTTGTTTTTCAGTGAAAATATACTGCTTTTTAAAGGATAAATAATAGCACCAAAAGTTGTTAGGCTCTAATTTTACATACTTGGTCGCTCCATCGTCGTATGTTGCCATTAACACTATTGTTCCATCTTGTATGTTCTTCAGAAACTCGATGAATGGTGCCACATCTGAAGAAAAAGAAGGGTTAGACATTTTCTTAGAAATAACGGAATTACTATCACAATAATCTATACAATTAATGTCACATGCAGTTTCCATAAACTGCAGTTTCCACAACTGTTTCTAAATGAAAAGTAATTTAAGGTAAGACAGACAAATCTTAGGGAAAGCTTAAAAACTCAAGGTTTTTAAGTCCACCCAGGCAAGACAAAAAAAAAAAAAAAACAGTAAACAAAATTACCAAATTTATTCTTTGATATGGTCCCTCCACTTACTGATTTCTTTCCCAGTTCTGAATCATCTTGAGTCTTTCATACTTGTATCATCGGGGCCAATAAGAATCCACAGGAAAGTCATGTAAGCACATCACTTGTAAAGTGAGGGCCTCAGAAAGCTCTCAGGAATACATAACTGAGCTTAGAGTCCACAGGAAGCCTGATTCTCAGGTCCATGTGAAGCTTTGGGGACTAGAACGGCATGGCCTTGAATGTTAATATGGGTGCTTTTCTGGGAAAGGGAAGCCCTGCTTCTATCCAATCCTCAGAGACCTCTGTAAATCATTTTTAATCAGTAGGAAGGCGGGTTTAGAAAGAGTTTTTAGGTGTACCATTCTGTGACAAACTGGGGGAAGGAATGTAGACAGTGACTAAGAGCCAAACTAATTATGGCCAACAGTGGTCCTCTTAGGAAACCAATCCACAGGAAGTTCCCAATAACCCAGCTCAGGGAGTGCAAACTGGTGTCGCCAGATAGACCGGGCGTGGACTAACGCATTTTCCATCACGAGCTCTCTGCAATGCTAGCTTTCCTTAAAGACCACAAGCCTAAGTCTACTCCAAAACTATATTACTTCAAGTCTTCCCAACTTCTTTTTTTTCAACATCGAAGATTCCAAAGATTTTTCTCTAATTGATTATATTTTACAGTAAGCACATTTTCAGTGCGGGAACATCAATGCCAACACATCATTCCCATTGAAAGGAGAAGATGGCATCAAACTGCTATTATTTCTGAGCCAGGAAGAGTCTTTGGCAGCAATGTGGTTCCCGTGATGGGCAGTGAGAGCAATCCCAGAGCTCTGTTTACATGCCCAATTTCAACAGCTTCATGGAAGAGTTTCTATGTTATAAATTATACTAAGAGCAATTATGCTCTCAGAATCTAAAATTGATGGGAACGGTGTAATTTAATATACGTCTGACAGCTATGAAACATTCTCTAAAGCTTAAATAAATAATACATAGCGCCTTATTAAAGCTGAAGAAATATTAGACACGTTAGCTTGTCTGGAAACTGAATATAAATGTCTGGAGGCCTGAGAATAGCTAGTTTGTAGTGAAGCCAGGGAACCAAAAGATAAGCCAGGGTCGGCCCGCCTTCCTTAAAGACGAAGAAATCCTGGGGACTGGAAGGTTAGGCTACTCAGACATTAGCAGCCCACTTTTTACTCTTCCAGAGGACTTAAATCTGGCTCCCAGCATTACACCCGGTGGCTCACAGTGCCTGTAATTCCAGCTCCAGGAATCCAGTGTCACCTGCCTCCTCAGCCACCTACATCCACGTGGCCAGACCTACATGAAGACACACATCTACACACAAATAAAATAATGAAAACAAACATTCTTCCTTTTCTTTTGTTTCTTAAAGAAACATTCCCCTTTGGAGTAACATTCTTTGGGGAGCCAGTCTTTGCTTCAAATTCACCAGTATTTGATGGCGACCTCTTCCTATTCCTAGGACTCCCAAACATGGAAGGGAAAAAATTCTGTGGCTTGTTCCGAGTCCAGCAAATTATACAAGGAAAAGTCTATGCGTTTTCTAAACATTGGCTATTGTAATAGTAGAGTCCAAAGGTAGAAACAGGACGGATTAATGGGATTATTACTTTTCGAGAACGCAAGCCACTTCAGTCTAAAACAGTGTGAACTGGTTGTACTGGTCTTCTAGTGATCCGACTTTCAGGTAGAAATAGAAATCAAGTCAGGGTTTTTAGTCAGTTGTCCTGTGAAAACACGGAACGCTAATGTCCTTTAATCTCATTGGAATCTCAATCACAGGCAACTTTCCTACCATAACCAAACCACATGCAACATGACAGTCCACTTCAACATGGCTGGACACATAGGGAAACAAAGCGGAACTGCAAACAGTGGCAGCCTTCTCTCACATGGGTTTGGCAGCAGCAGCAGGAACACAGGGTGAGTCATACGTACCTCCACCCCACATGTCAAAATATTTGGTGTCTAGTACCTCCCCTGTCTTCCCTGAAAGAGACAGAATACTCATCAAATTTAAATCACACAACTGAAATATCAGCGTAGAAAAAACGGTCTTACTCAAGGAGGGACATGAACTCATCAACAGAAGGAATGCTTCTGGAACTTACGATCTGAAGCACACACACAGCTGTGCCTCACTGACTTCAGACCATTTCCGTACCACATTTCACTTTCCTGTGTGGTCATCAAGCCACGACATTAACTACCAACACATAACCTCTACAGCAAAGAAATTAACTACTTAAATCAGAGCGAAAACAACAATCTATGTTAAAACTTTTGTTTCCAAATAAAATTTACACATATTTTATCTAGAAGATCCATTAAATAGAAGAGACATTAAAATTTTTACTTGGGGAAAAAAAAGTACAAAATCATATAAATGCTACCTATGATTAGAGCAAAGAGAGCTTCTCTCTGCTGGGGGTCGGCTGCGCTGCTGCTGGTAGAGTCTACTCACCCCAGGCAGTTATAGGGAACACATGTCTGAGCAGAGGCAAGCAATGCACAGGCAGCCTGCACTTCCTGGGCTGGATGCTTAAGATCTACTTTTGCAACACACACTACGTCCAGGATTCAGTGAATTTAGGGGCACAAATAACCTCTGAGAAGAATGTGGACAGTACTGAAAACTTACAACAAATTATGACTTTATTCTCCCCTCTACTTATCTAATGGTCCACCATCCTTTGTCATTTTATACACCCTTAATCCTGTCTATCTAGCTCCTTAGTAAGAATTTTGAAAGGTGCAGCAAGAGTGCATCCATTCAGTATCAGGGTGGTGGCTTGCAGCTTCACAAGAAGCTTGCCACACAATGCACATGGCTGCAATATGCCCAAGAAAATATGTTACCCACTAGGAGATTCCAAGTCTCCATCTACAATGGTTTGGACAAGATGGTACCCTTGTTGGGAAGGCTTCAGTACTGAGTGGTGCTTTCTACTCTGGTGCCAAGGGTAAATTTTAGTACGGGGCATAAATACACCCATTGATTATATTGATAAAGTACAATAATTATTCTTACCATTTACCAAGGCAATATTTATTCCTCTTCCAACATTGTTTTTGACACCGCTCATCAGACTAAAGGAAAAGAAGTCAAGACAAACTCATTAGAATTAGATAGTATATGGACACGCCACACAAATACAATGCAAAAAAAAAAAAAAGGTATTTTACACATAACAAACACTCAGCTCAGCAAATTAAGAACTTACTACATCAAAGACAGTCAAAAGTTGGATCAACTGTAATGTCAACTCAAATACTTCATAAAATCAAAAACTACACATAAAGGTACACTGGCGCTAGAGAGAGTTCATTACTCATACAGAGACCCAACGCCCACGTCAGGAGGCTCCCAACCTCCTCTAACTCCAGCTACAGGGCTCTGATGTCTCCGGCTGCCAGCAACGCCTGCACTCATGTGCACACACCAAGGCACACACAATTTAGAAAGCATTACGGCTCAACAACGGTGTTACTGCTCTGCCTCATTCTGTGCCGTGCCACCTGAGCAATCCTTTACGACATGGGCACTACCGGGCTCGATCCCCACCACTCGCAAGGAGGCAAACACACCCTCTCTTCCCCACGTCCGCAGGGTCACTGTGACACCGTGACATGAAGTAGAGTCGCATTCTATATGGACATTCTAGAGTCTGAAGCTGGAGGAGTAACGGACAATCGTCATGCCCGTGTCACCTCGCTGTGAACATTTTCCTATCTTCCTGGTGATTATTAACATACGCTTTCTCCACACGCAAGAGGAAAGCTGTAATTGCTGATTACCTCACCACAGCCATGAGTGGGCCGCCTGAGATTACCAACGTCGCTGCAGCCAACAGACCGTAATGACAGACGACGGTGGGGTGGAGGGCACAGTGGTAACCGACATCGCTGCAGTCTACAGACCATAGTGCCAGAAGACCCCAGTGGCACCCTGGCTTGCTATCAGTTTATTGTATTGACTAGTAAACCAAAACTTGTAGGTAATGTTAAATTAATAGAATTAAATGTAGTAGCAATGTCCTCAGCAGTGTGCTGGAAGAGGGGCACTGTGCGAACATTAGCACAATGCAAATTTTCCTGATAAAACATGTAACAAACAATTTTGCAAAAAAACACACAATACTTTATCATACATTCCTCATAGCCAACTAATTCACACAGGTGTCAACTGATTTCCACCAAACTCTTTATCTAGAACTGAGCTGTGGTTGCAGGGAATATAATTGTAACAATTGCGTTAACATACCGTAGCACAAAGACAGAAGGGGAACCATTGGCTATAATAGAATCAACTGCATAATGGTGGTAATAAATTCATTGTAAACATAAGGGTATAGGTAATAGAAAGTAAAAGAGTAAGAAAGTATACAAACAAGCCACAGAAGAAATACAAATAATCATCAATCAATTTTAAAAACAACAGAAGGTTGGGTGGATATTCTCTATGGTGAATTTAAAGAATGTAAGACATTATTAACAACTACGGAGGCACAAATCATGGACTCAATGAGCTACAACTTGACTCCTATTAGATGCATAGGCATACAGAGGACCCAGGACAGTGTTAGTACAAAGCGATGATGTCACTTTGGAAAAATATTCTGACAATTCCTTAAAAAGCCAGACAGCCAACAGAAAGAAAAGTCCATTCAGTACAAGTACAGAGAGTGAAAACACATCCATATAAAATCTGCGAGAAATGTTTCAGAAACACTTCTCTTGAGTGTCAGAGAGTGGAAATAACTCATGCATCTACCAGCTGCTAAAGGGCAAAGCAAATGAGGCATATCTGTAATGGGAAATCATTCATCCGTGACGAGAATTAACTGATACGTGCTACAAGCTGGATGAACCTTGAAAACATTATATCAAGAGAAAAAGTCAGTTCCTGAAGACCACAGACAACACACCTATGAAACATCACAAACACACCAGTCTGCAGGGACAGAAGCAGACAAGGTGATGTAGGACTTGCTGTGGAGTAGAATGGCAATGAAGAGGGGCCAGAGTCAAAGGGCACAGCTTCCTTTAGAAGTGTGGCGAGGTTCTACGCTGGGACTGCAACCCCGGCGTTCTAGAGATAGGGGGTCAGGATAGCCATAAAAGAATGAAGGAAGGAAGAAAATGCCTAAAATGACTACAGCACAGTTTGTACACAATGATGAAACACACGACAAACCAGTAACTGCACAGTACAGACGAGGAAAGCCAGGCATATCAACTGCATCTCCCAGCTATTTAAACAAAAGGATTTGCCGTGAGCACACACAGAAGACCAACAAGAGCTTCACCCACAGGACTACTGGCTGGCTGGGCTGCACCAGGAAGAGGAGGGGCGCTCCAGACTCTGCAGAAGCACATTAGACATGTAAATTCCATCAGTGGTCCCAAAACGGAATGGTTGCAGTTAACGTGTTGGTTAATAGTCAAACTCCAGTGACTTTCCAAGCAGAGATCCTCTTGGAACACGCTTCTCTTTTACAATAAACTTAAGTTCATCACAGAGCAGAGAAAGGAAGGCAGCAAGAAGCACAGCGCCACAGGCTTCCCACAAGAGGGCAGCAACCTACCAGGTTTTAAACAGATCAAACCGGGGAAACTTGCAATCAATGAAAAACTGCCAAAGAAACCAAATGCATCAAGAGCAGTCACAGCAACTAAAATAAAGAATACTTTATTCTTTATAACTGGGAAGGCCCTTTGGCCAACCACATACCTTCAGCAAAAACACCCTAAAGGAAAGGCATAAACACTGTACATTTTCATAGACAGCTTTGCTTCCCATACCTGCCACCAGCTCTGGCTACTCTAAACATCTTGGAGGGAGCTGAGCAGTGAAAACATTCAACAGCTCTCCACAGCGATGACAAATAACACATACACGACAGGGAGCAAAATTAGCCCTGCCGTTCACTGCAATCTAGAGCGGTTGTCTATCTCCACAGTGGGTTCCTGGACTCAGATCGGGTACAAGGACACATATTTTTATTATGCACCTGCACATTTTGTAGGGTAGATAGGCGGGCAAGAAATAAAAATTATGAGTAGAGCCACCATGTCAAGCAGCTGGCATAACTAACGACAGTTTTATTCTACTACATGATTTTATATATCTGCGAAATTCGCTTTTCAATACAATTGAGATCATAACACGGTAAGTGGGAAAACTTTCTCAGCACACATAGAAAATGACCTCAATCCTTTACCTGCATTGCTCAGAAGTTCTTGTGTGGTCTGGCTCACTCCCTTCCTGAACTTTCCTGAGCATGTGCTGAGGATATTCAGATATCTCTACTCTGCCTCTGGCTGTCTCCTGATCCCTAGGTTCTTAGACCACACTCAGGGTCTTAGACCCAATCCACAACACTCAATCTAAAGTTAGACCCTTTCCCCTCACTTCCAAAACTCTACTCTCTGGACTCGATCCCTCCAGCGTCCCATTGGAGATCCCTGACCAGTTAGTTATGAAGCCCTTCCATGAGGACCAGTGTCATGATCTGAAGCCTAGTTATAAAATTTTATCAATTATTAATCTTTCATGGGAAAAGTAGAATGATTCTTGAAATGCAGCTGATAGGTGGGCAACCTCAATTTTTTTTTTGGGGGGGGGGTGGGGGAGTCAAACTACTGCGCAGGACAAATTCTACATGACATGCCTACCATGCTAGAACCAAAGAATCTGGCTCCTAGCCCGGCACAGTTATGCTCATCCCTACTCCCAAGAAGCATTTATTTGGACTGAGAGATGGCTCAGAGGTTAAGAGCACTGACTGTTCTTCCAGAGGTCCTGAGTTCAATTCCCAGCAACCACATAGTGGCTCACAACCATCTGTAATAAGATCTGGTGCCCTCTTCTGGCCTGCAGGGATACATGCAGGCAGATGCTGTATACATAATTAATAAATAAATCTTTAAAAAAAAAAAAAAGAAGCATTTATTTTCTATCTATCTTCTAAAGTGTGGTTGGAAGGCAGTGTTTAGAAGGGTTTGATCCCTTCCTTGCATTCAACTCCATACTTCAAAGAGATGGAGTAGGCGACAGACAAAGGTCCGTGGGTGAGATATTCCAAATGAACCTTCATCCCCTTATTCAGACTCAGACATAAACTCTTTAGTAAAGCAAGGGAGAAAGAACTGTCTTTAAACACCCAGAAACTTCCTAAACCCACGTGCTCTGCTCTATCAATAAACAGATCGGGGTACCGAAAAGTCAGAAGCTGATTTGGTAAAGGCTGCCCATCAGCCTGGGGGGAAGAACGAGAATGGACAGAGCTAAACATCGATTCTGCAAGAAACTGTTGCCCCATGTGGCTAATTCTTCCATAGTTCACTGCAAATTTAACTTAAGAGCTGTTTGAGATTCACGCATAAGAAGCTAGGAGAAAAGGCCCAGTGTCTGCTGTGTGACTGTACAGCATCTTCGTCTTCGGTCTACACAGCCAGAGAGCACATCTACTACTAAATGAGCTCGTGTCCCGAGTTTCATGAACAATCAGATGCAAAGCAACCAAAGCAGAGTTTCAATTTCAGAGTAGGAACTTGTGGCAAGGCAGGGTGACGAACCTACACGCATCCTGTGTAAAACACCACCACCAGGGAGCCACTCAGCTCAACCCAGAGCAGTCTGAGTCCAACAGGCCCGCCGTGACTGCCAGGTCATTTCACACCTCAGCAAGCAGCACAAGACACTGGGCTATAATGCGACACATTCATTGCTCTGGGAACTTTGTTCTGACCAAGTATTTTTTATGTGGGATTTGTGGTCAAGAGCCCTGTGGAGAGCCTGGCGCGGGTGGTAATCACCTTTAATCCCAGCACTCAGGAGGCAGAAACAGGCAGATCTCTGTGAGTTCAAGGCCAGCCTGGTCTACACATTGAGTTATAGGGCAGTCAAGGCTATACGGAGAAATCATGCTCAAAAACAAACAAAACAAAACAAAACAAAAACCCCAAAAATAACAATAACAACAAAAAACCAAAGAAACCAAAATAAGAGCCCCCATGAGGCACTGAGCACTTGAATACTCCAACTATGTATGAAGAAATTTTTTTAAAATAAATTTAAATGAATCAAATTTTTTCTTAGTATTTAAGAATCAAAATGAAACAGCCACATTTATCCTTACACAAAACCAAATAAAAAGCAGGTTTCTTGGTCACTCTCTTAAAGCACGGGGGAGGGGTGATATCATACAATAATAAAAGCATTTCAGAAGTGCAACTCCACCAGCTGTCACTCAATACAAGCCCTTCGTGTCCTGAGCCATCCAATACTCACACATTGTCTTCCAGGCAGATCTTGGGCCCCACAACATTGGCTGCTCCGCTGGCCATTTTAAAAGCAAAATGCTTCTCAGGGCATGCTTTTGAGATTCCACATTTGTACCTGGGAGGCTTTGTGGCTTCAGGGAGAACAGAAATAGATTTGAGATTCCTTTAGAAATGGAACTAATAGGATTTTATAATCAGTTTGTTTTAGATTGCTAATAATACATAGAAATATATATTTTATATCACTATGGTATACTTAGTTAAGAGCTAGAGGGACAACTTGGCAATTAGGAGCACGGGCTGCTTTTCCAGAGGACCCAGGTTCAATTCCCAGTGTCCACATGGTGGTTCATAATCATCTGTAACTATAGTTCCACGGGATCACATACCCTTTCTTAGGCTCCTTGAGCACAACACATGTAATGTACATATGTACATGCAAAGCATCATACATATGAAAAATAATATAACAAGAGCAATACACATATTTAAAAATAAACACCCAATTTTTAAATCTCTAGAACTATCCCCCCACTAAGGGTATCAAAAAGCCAAGCAAGGAAAAAAGGCAGGCAAGCCCCCTGAAATAAAAAGACACAAGAACGCAACTCAGACCCTCCTGGGGAATGAGCCAACTACTGAGAGAAATGGATTGTGCCATACGATCTTGCTGAGCAAGGCAGATCTTATTTAATTATCCTCCAAGTTATCTTTAAATTTCTGGGTGCCTGGGGCTTTTTAATTGCTCCTTTGCATGCCTAGTACTTCAAAATCAGGATCAGTAAAAGCTCGGCCCTCCCACCCATCCAGGTACAAGCTGCAGCTGGCTCTCCTATTCAGTCTCACGGGCTGTGCTCACAGCACAGGGCTACAACCCAAGCACAGAGTAAACACCCACCGGCAATGAAGAACCTATGATAGAAGGCCATCCAATTAAATGACAGCTGTAGAGTTTTAAAACTCAACTCGTTCAGGGTTTGTTCACACAGACTGCCCGCATTGCTTGAAATAAGCCCTTCCTTACAGGGCACATACTGCGGTACTAGATAGAGCATTCATAAACCACCAAGCTGAGGGACTTACGGCGAGTGGCTGGGTCCAGCACAGATCGAGCTAAGAAGAGAAACAATGAACATCGTTAGAAAACACAGGTTCATCGGAAGCTATCTACTTCCAACACAGTAAAGCTTCTAGTAAGTCAAGGAAATGCATGTTCGGATGACTGCCAGTACCAATACCAATACCACTTCAGAGAAGCAGTACCTTTCTGTTAATTCATTATGGACAAGCTCTTGTAGACCAGGCTGGCCTTGAACTGACAGAGATCCACCTGCCTCTGCCTCCTGAGTACTCCTGAGTACTGAGTATTAAAGGTGTGCGCCACCTGGTTCATTTTATAGTTTATATTTTGCTTAATTATTTACTACAAACTTAAATCCTACTCAGAAAGTAAAAAAAAAAAGACTACTAACTGTGTTGGTGACCGATATCGTAACTAAATGCTGCTTGGCAGGGCTAGGCTGGGTACCCACACAGTCCTAGAGAATGTGTACAAATCTATCTTGGGGTTTGGTGAAGATCTGGGAGACCAAGAAGAAGGGGAGAGTGAATGCTGGGGAAATCTGAGTTTCTCCACAACAGAAGTGTGGAGTATATACTAAGAAGGGCCGAATGAAAAATCAGTGCTGTTCCTGAGAGTTTCTTGTTTCATTAGTTCAAGGAAGGGAAAGGTCAACTCCTAATACCCACACTGGGTCTCAACTGTCCTCCTTCCCAATTACACTCTGTGCTCTGTAAATGCACCAGTGTCTGATCCCGGTCCAAGGGATTTGAACACAGACCATCAAAGTGCCATTGACAGCTGGTCTCTGATTTGACTAATAAGCACACAGTGTGATGGCTGCTGGCCAGCTGTCTAACTATAAATAGTCGCTTAGTTTGTACTTCTCTACAATTTCTGATAACTATGAATTTCCTGTAACCCCACTATTCAAATTTTGGAACAGAAAGTCGAAGCTGAAAGAGAATATCTAGATGGTTAAAGAGAAGGGACCAAGCCAGCAGCTTCAGGACTCAGTAGGACACTTAGGAGAACATTCTGCACCGTTAGTCACACAGCTGTAATATAGGGAAAGAGAGAAGCATGGAATATAGCCAAGAGAGCCTTCTCCATCTCTAGACCCTAAGGACACAGGTGATTCCCATGCAGAGAGATTTGAACAAGCAAATAGCAAAACAGAAAAGGAGAGGGGAGGAGGAGCATAGATTCAGGCGCTGGGTTTTCCTTGGCTCATTTGTCCCATTTCCTTAAATAATTACAGAGATTTGATCCAAGGCTTTCACTTTTTTTAAATGGGGAAACTAAACTCCAGGGCAACATCAGCAACATGAAGACTAGAAATTCTCAACTTCAGACTGTCTTTAAAAAGCAAACCTTTATTCCCAGCACTTGGGAGGCAGAGGCAGGTGGATCTCTGTCAGTTCAAGGCCAGCCTGGTCTACAGAGCTAGTTCCATGACAGCCAGGGCTGTCACACACAGAAACCCTGTCTCAAAGAATAAAATAAACAAACAAAAATGTTCTAAAAGGCAAAGAAACGAGATAGCAAAGTGGGCGGGGACTTGATACCAAGCTGGGCAGTTGCGCAGGATCTGATGGTATAAGGAGAGAACTGACTTTCATGGGTTGTCACATGCGCACCTACTCTCATATACAGATACATAAGCACACACACACACAGAAATGCAATTAAGAAAAAAAAAAAAACTAGTCAGGCAATGGTGGTACAAACCCTGGTCAACAGAGTGAGTTCCAAGACAGTCAGTCAGGGCTGCAACTGAGAAACCCGGTCTCAAAAACAAGAGCATAAACAATCAAAAAAAAAAAAAAACTAAATTAATTAATCAATAATCAAAGAAAAAGAAAAGAGTGTATCATCCGCCTATATCATTAGAAAGGAACACTGTGAAAATCAGGAATTTAGTCTCCCTGACCAGTGCTAGGCTGATCAGGTGACAGCTTACCTGATCTGAGGTAAGGACAGGGGGAGACAGTAGGATCTGGACAGGGCTGGCACAGCACCACCCATTCCTATGTGCCAGCTGTGCCAAGCATGCCTGGGTGGTCTCTGCCATGGTCATCATGTCTCACAGAGATAAGGACACTGAGGACAGAGCGCTTCACTGGTGCGTATGTGTTCAGTCATAAGTGTAATTGGTGGAGGTAGTTTTTAGTTTATTTTTAATTTTTCAAGCCATTTGTTATGTATATGTGCGCGTGTGTATATATACATGCCAAGCGACACGTGTGCAGACCTCAAAGAACAACTTAGAGGAGCCAGTTCTCTCCTTCCAACATGTGGATCAGGGATTGAACTGCAGGCTTGATGGTGAGCATATTCACTTGTGGAGCCATCTGACCAGTCCACAATTGGCTTTTAAAACCATCTCATGTAGCATCCGGGCCACTGTACCACTTCCAAAGATGAATATATAAGTAAAAAGCATCAACCACTCCCAGTACAGAACAGAAAGCCAGGTTAGGGACCTTTGAGAATCTGACCAGAGAGGCTCAAGCCTGAGTCTATCTAACAAAGACCCTGCTGATGTCATTTAGGATAATAATAAAAAAAAAAAGCCAGTTTTGTGGGAAGAAAATATGAGAGGTGTTCACTGAACTTTCTAAAACAGATACAGAGCTTCTAAGGAAACAACACAGACAGGGCTTAGGCTGGATGCAAAGGCAGGAATCAGGATGCTGGCTTAGCTGTGTAAATACCTACATTCGCTTACACGAAGAAGTGATCAACACACTTTCTCCGCACCCAAGACCTTTGTAACTATGTAAGGAGGTGTGTGTCTGTGTGTGTCTCTTGTATGTGGACACCAGTGATGGGTTCCACCCACCATGTCTTAAGATACTTGATGAAGATATAAGAGCAACACTATGGAGGCCAGCTAGAAATCAGACCTGAGAGTAAGAAGAAACTGGGGTATGAGCGAAAAGATAAGAACACCCAGGAAAGAAAGAACCCAAACACATCAACATTCAAGTACTGACCAAGACAAGAAACTTAGGAGTCTGGAGTGATGGACACAGGCAAAGGCTGAAGGACTCTATAAAATGATAAAATCAGGGCTGGAGAGTTGACTCAGAGGTAAGAGCACTTGTGATTGTTGCAGAGGATTTGGGTTCAATCTCCAGCACCACAAGGAGGCTCACCACCTCTGAGGGAAGCAAGCACAAATGTGGTGACCGAAGGACATGCAGGCTAAGCACACATATATGCAAAATATTAAAAATACATATATTTTTTTAAATTTAAAGATCAAATGAGTTTGTTAAATTTCAGATGTCAAACCTGTACTTGCTACTTAACTAAAAATGATTTCATCAAAATCAGTTTGCTAGTCACCAGGCTTTCGGGTGAGTATACCTCCATGGAACTAGTGTTAGTTGTTGAGTTGCTTGAAAGCCAAGAAACTCCGGGGAAGCACTTTATACAAAGGAAAGTTATTTTTACCCAATACCCACCAAAATTGAAAGACTGCCCTTAGGCCTATAATTCTGAGACTGTGAGAGGCAAGCAGAGGAACAATTCTTCATTAATACAGGGTACGGCCAAAGTATCGGCACAAGCACAAACTGGAAACACATCCCCCTCCCCACTGCAGGTTTTACTTCTGACTCTACTTGATAACCCCAATCTTCAGTATCTTTCAGATAATACATCAAGGAATGGATACACACCCGTCTGATTCATCAGACTTCAATGAATGTCCTTTAGTTAAGTCAGACTGGAGAATTTAGAACTACTTTACGCCAGCTTGTAATACTATCTCAAGGAATCTATGCATATACTATTCACCAATGGCTTAAATATCCAGGTGTAAAAATCAACAAGCCCGCAACATTCACTGCAGCAATATCTGCAGAGATGACATGGACTGTGTTCAGCCCTGCACAAGCTGAATGTCCCTGCTGAAAACTAATACCGCATTAAACCACAGCCAGGTGCATGGCTGGCAAAGTGTGAGCAAGTCTCCATCCTGCCCTTTCCACGACAGTTCCCAGTTCCCAAGATGTTTCTCATGGGTGGAAGCAAGACAAGTAAGTATCTAGGGTCTCTGGATGGTACTTCTTACAGAGTGTGACTCTATAATCCCTTCGAGATTAAGTCTTGTTTAAAAAAAGAGCGCCTCTGTGTGTTTGGGGGTGGGGTGTGCTGGGCTGGGGCTGAAATCTGGATGTGCTAAGCATCTAGTGTTCTGCCTGTTCTGCCACTGGGCTACGTCCCCATGCTAAAATACTGCTTAGGGGTTTAGACTGTTTTAGTTGTTCCTCTTTGCCTTTTGTCTTTTAAATTTTATCTTATTCTTTTTAAATCATAACCTATCTTGGTAATTTAAATTATTAACTGTGGGCAAATTTTTTCATTCTTCCTGTTTAGAAATGTCTGTTTTTTCTAAAACAATATAAAAAATATAAAACAATATAAAAAGCCCGAGTCAACGAGCCAGGTTATCCCAATATTCCGGAGGCAAGGGCAGACAGATATCTGAGTTTGAGGCCACCCTGGTCTATAGAGTGAGTTCCAGGGCAGCCACGGTTACACAGAGGAACTCTTTTTTTTTTTTTTTTTGGTTTTTTCGAGACAGGGTTTCTCTGTGGTTTTGGAGCCTGTCCTGGAACTAGCTCTTGTAGACCAGGCTGGTCTCGAACTCACAGAGATCCACCTGCCTCTGCCTCCCAAGTGCTGGGATTAAAGGCGTGCGCCACCACCGCCAGGCCACAGAGGAACTCTTGTCTCGAAAAACAAACAAAAAAGCCTGAGTCAAAATGACCTGTCCAAGGAGTGGGTCTCTGATTCTTGTGTATTCTTTGGACTGTTTCCCTTCTCTTGGTTTGCATGATTAAACTTGGGTGAGATGGATTTTGTTTTATCTTACTATCTTTTACTTTATCAAGTTTGGCTATTATCTCTTAGATATTATTCTTTCCTAATGAGAGAAAGAAAAAGGTAGGTCTGGGTGGGAGGGGAGATAGAGAGGAACTGGGAGGAGCAGAGGGAGGGGAAAGTGTAGTCAGGATGTATTGTGTGAGAAAAGAATATTTTCAACACATAGAGGGAGAAAAGGATCTGCTCAAACTATTAAGTTATCACAAAAGGAAGTTAAAAAACTGGCTTCTGAATGAACTGTAGTTAACCATACAGGTAATTAGAGACCAGGTCCCTGAAACCAACCTCTATGGATTCAACCTGATGAGCTTTGCCAATTTAAATTGGATGCCAAATAAATGGTTAAGAGAACTAACATATTCTAACAAAAAATATAAAACAAGCCCGCGTTAATATTTTCACCAGTTCAATCTAGACCAGAATCCAACAAATAACATTTTATAGATGAAAACAAACACCTGCCCTAAACAGTGCCTAAACCAAGTAGGTAAAATACATGCAGCATGGAACAGCAGAACGGAAATCAGGAGTCCAATGTTCCAGTTAAAGTACTCGAGAAGGGCTCATCCTGATGGGAAAGGCAGAGGCTCATACCATATCCCAGACACTAACTCTGAAGAGTATTCAGACACGAAAGGTTGAGTGCTGTTGTGTAGGTGAATCTCGGGTTCAGAGAGAGCAGAAGTAAATTCAGTGTTCCGAGTCCCTCCTCAGTATTAATTTACAGAGAGGAAAACTCACTAACTCAAAGCCCTCAGCATACGTTTGTTTAATTCTGCCAACCAGAACAAGATGTTGCTTCTAGGATTCAGTCTCTTTTCATGCTTTAGTCTGCAGCCAGAGTTCACCCTGTATGAGCACAAGAACCCAGAAAAAACAACCAGCTTCTTGAGCTTCCCATGACAGCTGATGGTCTCCAGGAGAGATCCGATATCAATTTTATACAGTGTGAGATAAATATAATCAGTTCCATTTCAATATATGAACCTTGGGTTCTATTTTTCACCCTCCTAATAATATACTTAAGGTCACAGATGTGGGTCAGTGCTACAGTACTTGCCTGGCACTTCACAAAGCCCTGGGCTTGACTACCAGTGCCTCAAAAGGGAAAGAAACTTTAGGGTGAGCATTGTGGCGGTGCACACCTTAAATCCTTCCACTTGGGGACTAGGGTGAGGCAGGAGGATCACAAGTTGGCAGACAAGGCTGCACAGTGAATTCTGAAATAGCCTACCATGCCAGAGGAAAACCCTGGTACACTTCCAGAATAGAAACATCTGAAAATCAGTAAGACAGAGAAGTATCTAAAATAAACATTGAATATAACTGGTTCCACTTTATTAACTGAAGGGTTGTGCTTACAACTGAGTTAGGAATGTAGCACAACACTTGTCTAGCATGTGCAGGGCACTGAGATGGATCCCTAGCATTGAAAAACGTAATTTGAGTTAACGTACCTTATACGGGTACATTTACAACATAAAAACACCAAATAATGGGCCAAAATGAAAATCACAGAGAAAAGAAAAAGAACGTTAAGGACCAACATGTATAACATATTTCTCTGACTCTTATAAACTAGATGTGGGTCCATTTTCTAGCAGCTAACTCAAAGGCAGAAACAATTCAAACACGCCAGTGTGGTGTTTTCCAGAGGGAGCTCTTAAGAGTTGTGATTAATGCTTCTCATCGCCGTGTAGCAGAGTCACTAAAGATGTTCAAAATGTCAGAGAGAGAACCGATTGTTTCATACCAGCTTTATCCTTAAACCCGCAATGTTTTTTAGAATATTGTAATGAACGACATTTACTCACATAATAATTCTTTTTCTACACGAACAGAGCAGCAGTGAATTCATGCCAAGAACTTACACATGTTAAGAACCTGGGCCTGGGGAGATGGCTCCCAGGGGAAGAGCACCGGCCGCCCTTTCTGCCTACCCAGGTTCTACTCGCAGCACACACACAAGCTCACAACTGCCTACAACTCTTCTGGCCTCTGAGGGCACCAAGCGTGTACAAGGTCCACAGACATACATGCAGGCAAAATGCCCATATACATAAAATAATAAAATAAAAACTTTTTAAAAGCATGAAGTTCTAGCTGGACAACGGTGGCACATGTGTGACTCCTGAGTACTCGGCCCCATACAGGACACATGTACCCACCCTCTTTAAAGCTAGGAGAACATCATGGAAGAGGGCACAGAAAGAAGTTAAGGGGCTGGGGCTGACAAGTGCTGTTCCCCAGACATAACATGGCTGTGGCTCTCAAGAAATCCATCAGCTGTGATTACCAGCACCTGCCACCATGCCTGTCAACACTCCATCACGGATGGGGAGGAGTCTGCAAGGTAATACTCCTCCCTGAGCAGCCCCTGGAATTTAACTGCTACAGTAGAAGGGAGAGCCATTTTCTCCAGTGGTGTAGGTGCCCGTGCTCCAGTAAACAGCCCTAAACTCACACCCATGTGAGTAAGCCTGAACTGAATGAGTTGAAAAACACAAAGACGTGAAACTAGAAGGGACGTGTGGAGGCAATGGGAGCAGTAGTGGGGGGGTACTTGGGGGGGGGTGTGAAACTTACCAAATAGATTTCCTAAGCTTGCATCCATTTTAATTTCAAATACTTGAGAAATAACATAAAATGTCAATAGAAATACTGCAACAGCCACCACCAACTTTGCAGCTCCTAGAAAAAAGGCAGAAGTAACTCAGCATGGTTTTAGAAGACAACAGAATTCCTGCTGCACAAACACTACGCTTCTACAAAATCATTAAGACATCTCTAGATCTTAATGTTACTGCAGTTACAATGACTGTATGACACCCACAATCACAGGACTCTCAGACACAAGCCAAGGCGACTGGCGGGGAGGAGGTTTGCCTTCCACCAGCTGCTGGCTGACCACAGGTGTCCTGGAGAGTGGAGCACCACCAGCACAGCTAGGAGACTACACGCTCCTAGTCCTTTCCAGAGCCCCTCTGGGTGTTGGGAGCTGTGAAGCCCCCAGGTCTTGAATTCCTGGTAAACCACGGGTTATACTTGCAGCTGCTCTGAGCACAAGACCCTCAGGAGTTCCTGATGTCAGGAGAGTGGTTTCTGGTAGATTTGGTTGGGGCGTGGCTATCAGTTAAGTATCCCTATATAAGCTGCCCCTGGACACAATAAAGGGGGCATTCCTGTTTCAAAGACGACTCGTGTCTCTGTCTGTGTGTCTTTGTGCGTTTAAATCTCCAGGCCCTTGCCCATTTCACGAACTGTACGTTGGTGCATAGACAGGCATGGTGTGCTGCATCTGGAGATGATACAAAGCACTAAACTTGGAGATGCCAAGGCCAGGACACCCAGGAAATAAGGAGCGGAAGTGAAATACAGCACGCTTACTAACCTATCACCAACCCTTCACCTGGAGCTCTCTGACCCCAAGGGGACTGCAAACACTACCTAGTTTAAGGCAGGACTTTGCCCCTGGAGGGGAGGACAGCTCACACAGTGACTGGCTATGTGATAAGCCCCGAGAGAGCACAGCCCTCAACTTTAGACTTCATATCTGTACGATGCTATCTCGGCCACATCTGCTGAGGATGAATCATCTCTGACTCCTTTACTCCTAGGTTCTCAATCTAAGAAACAAACCACAAAGGGCAAGGTAAGACAGGAAGGGAACAATGGCAGAGCCACAGTTTCCCTCTCCCTCTCTGGATTTCACAGCCATGACGTGCTTCTTAACAGTACTAGTAATTCATGTCTGCACAAACGTAATAGTCCAGGTTTAATCTCTCCTGATATGAAACGGATGACAGAATCAGCAAACATCTAACCTTAAAGAGAGAGAAAAAAAAAAAATCCCAGAAATCAAATAATGCTTGAAGATTACAGATTCACCAGCGGTTGCACAAGAACCAGAACTCAAGTCTGCACCCCAAAACCTAGTGACTGTGCAGTATATCATTCTAAATGACACACTCTTCAGGGGGAGGGGGTGATGCCAAGCTCAATATAGTAGGTAAGGAAGAATTAAAACGAAAATCCTCTAATCTCATGGACCCCCAAGGAAAAGTCTATATCCTCAGAGGGGTGGGTCAGGAAAAAACGGAAGATGTGTGGAAAGCCAGGGGAGGCTGAAAGGCTGCCACACCCAGAGCCTCCTCGGCACCAGAGATTCTCTCTATTCATAGCTACACGTAAGGTAACAAGAAAAATCTCTGCACCTTCCTTCCAATCTGGCTGTGAATCTCCAACTGCTCTAAAAAAACAAAGCCCGAAGGAATTCTATTAGTACAAGAACCAAGTGGCAATGAGGACAGCCAACTAATCTCTTCTCACCTCCATTGCCTCACTCCTTCTGTCCAAAGGTTGCTTCCTGTTCTTTACAGCAACTACTAGCTAGCTACCTACAATTTTGGCATAGAAGAGCAAAATCCCATTTGGTTTGAAGCTCCCTCTCCCAGGAGTGTCCCCGAGAAAGCATGCTCTCAATACATACATGTTCCACAGATGAATGACAGCAGAGGGCACACAGTGTTCTCATTGTGTAAGACTGAGCCAGGCGGCTTGAAGGTGACAAACCGCAAGCTCGTCTCTGTTTTCCAGCAGTCATGGGCATGTGTAAGAGGGGATGAGCCCTCACTGTCCTCTAAAACAGAGAAATGAAACTTGCCTTGCTCTTGCATATAGGGTCTTGTCAGCGGTGGTACAGGAGATGGGGGGTCTTTTCTTACATAAGATTTGCATAAATTATGTATTTTATTTTGCCTGTGTATGTACATGAAAGTTTATGCCTGGTGCCCATGGAAGTCAGAAGACAGTGTCACATCCCCTGAACTAGTTATAGACAGTTGTGAGTCACTGCGTGGGTATTGGGAACTGAACCTCCTCGGTCCTCTGCAGAAAAAACATAGATAAGTGCTCAAACCCTCTGGCCCATCTCTCTAGCCCCAGCACTGTCTTAAACCAGGACCTGTTCATTTACACTGGAATGGAACAAGGAAGAAACAGACACTCCATGAAATAGAAGTTAGCAGCAGAGACACATGTAGTCTCTACAGTGGGAAGAGGGCAGGAGCCTGCTACAGAATACGGCCTCTAGGGTTGGTCCCAAAGTCCAGTGCCAGCCTTGGAGGGGATCACCATATGGCACCAATGCCAGCCTTGGAGGGGATCACCATATGGCACCAATGCCAGCCTTGGAGGGGATCACCGTATCGCACCACAACACCCATTCCTGGCATGGTGTGTCATTCCTCTTCCTTCAGTCACCGACAGCACTGCTTTGAGTTTGTTCCTACGTTTATAAACTAAAGATCATTACATTTCAGGCTACATGAGCAACCAGATACTATTAATTTAGAAGATATTAATTAGTTCAAAGCTGTGGACTAATAATAACTAATCTTACTTATTTGCCCATTAAAGGCAGCACCCCCCCAAGATATATGCCATGAAAGGATAAAAGCTAGATGGCGAAGTTAATTTTCCTGAAAATGAATTTAGAATTATGTGCAGAACAAGAACTTGCTTTGGTTAGCACACTTAAACAGAGCATCTAAAAATCCTCAGTGGACCACAGTTATACATCGTCCTGTTGACCCCAAGAGCATCCAGAAACGAAAAACGAAGCCCCACGTTTTAAAAACAAGCAAGCTCTTGGTTTCTGGAATCTTCTTCCTCCACAAGTGTAACTTCACAGCGAGTTCGATTTTTAAAATTTTTACAAAAGCATTCGCAGTAAGCATTGGTTAATTTGGTTTTAGTAATCTTGGTGTTTGATCAGCTCTGTTTGAGTCTATACAACTATAAGCAAACTAAGAAGAGGGATTTTTGTCCATTTGCTTCGGCCTCTGGCATCTCTGAGAGGTGTCTCTATGAAGATACTTCTAAGAAAATGACAATTAAAAATAAGACTGATTATCACGATTTTGGAGGAGCAACCTGTTTTCTCCTGTCATGCGCATTTAGTGGAGTTCCTCAGAGCAATGTGCCTTTAGGGGTGGGGAAGCTATGGCTGGAGGCCGCATAGCAGAAACCCATGTATTTTCACTTTCAGGTCCAGAAAGGGGAACTGGTGTTTATGGGTCTACCCCCTAAAGACGCTTATCAATGCTGACATTAGTACTACGCCCATCTAGCAAGGACTTTCAATGTCTACAACACGCTACTTCAGACTGCCGTTCATGTTCTGGATTTATACGTAGACTAAGAATTCAAAGCCAAACCACACTTCAGTAAATTCTCCACGTATGTCACACTTGAGTACACACCAGAAAGAGTTCTATTTTAGAATTTCTTTTTTTCTTGATCCCCAGAACTTAGCAAGGAAAAGTAAGTCTCTTTACATTTTAAAAATCATTCTTTGAGTATTTTATATGTACTGTTAGACAAATAAGCTCACCACATAAAACTAAACATGAATGTTTGGAATAATTTCAGTAAGAAGTTCATCTACAAAGATCCTTGTAATGCATAGGTGAGATCTGTTGACTATGTAGAACAAGCAAGGCTAAGCAGGATTTAGTTTACTTTAGCCTGGTACTTAACTTTCACAAACATTGCATAGTACCACCTGCATATAATCTCTGAGGCAGGAAGACAGCTTGAACCAGCTCAGACTGGGAAGCAAGACCCACCACAAAAGGGGGATTGGGAGAGGAGGATGAAGAAGAATCAATGAATTATGAGCCCCCTCCTTTAGTCATTATTGAGCGAACAAGTTATAAAATAAATTATAAAATGAAAAATTAGTTTCACTGGATTAAATGTCTTACCTGCTATCCTCATTTTTGCTTATCCAGCCTAGGGCACTTCTCAGAAATAAGGTCCTAATATCAAAAGAAAAAGACAAACACCATGAATTATACAATAAATACTTCTCTTTAGATTGTTTGTTTTAGAATGTATACATGAAGCCAATTAAGTAAATACCATAATATGTCTAAGTATTTATTCTATGAATACTAATGATTAATGAAAAAAAACTCTTTAATACTGGCCATTCCTTCCACTGGGCCATTAAAAAAAAAATAGCTCAAAAGAGCTGCCTTGCTGTGCCTCCCATTGGCCGTGTCCTTTGCTCCCATTGTACCCGTGTGTACACATGATAACTATTATGCTCAGAGATGACACATCCTTCAGAAGCTTACTACACTTATATTCAAACACTGGTCAGCATATCCTATCACACTGAAGTTTCCACTTCACACAAAAGGGGGGCAGGGAGCCTTTTGGCTTCTCAAGAGAACTCTGTCTGACAGGTCAGAAGTCCTCTTTTGGCTTGCAGGGGAACTGAACTCTGCATTCACAACACACACATGCCCTTCCCTCCCCTTTCATATACCAAAAGAATTCCACTCCTATCTGAGTGTGGCCTAGGAAAATGTCTTTGAAAATGTGATAAGCAGTTGGGAACCAGACACCTGCTGTTCTCCTTCGGCTTCTGTGGCAGGGGGAGACCACACCTGCATTACAGTCTCCAGCAGCCTGCCTGCTCCTGCCAGCCATTCTGCTTCGGAACTCATCACAGGCCGCTGCTCCTCGCAGCAACTACGTTTGTGAATACAATGGTTCTCCATTAAAATATCGTAGGGAATTAACATTTAGGAAAATTTCTATATTAAAATCCCATCAAGGTGTCTCGGTCATTAACACATCTTTAGTTGATTTCCTTAATTAACTCTCTTGCATCTTTAATGATGCAAAAGTGTAAATCCGAAGAGCAGGAGTATGGGAAGAGATTTGAGGGCAAAGTATGGCATGTGTTTATGATGTGCTAATTCTAAACCAAGCCTGGCTGTTTAGAGAGCATTGGGGACTTATTACAATCTGGGGCAGTGGAAGAAACAGCTCGTGAAGACTTCAGGCAATCAAGAAGGGACAGGTTCAGAGGCAATGAACACAACACTGAAGGAAGAAAAAGGCCTCGGCTACAAGCTCAGAAAACTAATCTACGTACTTAGGAAGAGGTAGAGATACAAACAGAAAATAGAATTCCCAAAACCAGAATATTAGTAATTAAGAATATTCTTGAACTTGTAAATATTCAAGACAGGATATTTAAGAAATTCTTCACTCCAAAAGTGTAAGGCTAGATCAAAACAAGTCTCAGCATTTTAGGAAGACAAAGACGCTAAAAGAAAGGCGCAGTGTCACCTGAAGGTCAAAGCAGGGAGGGCCACACTGCCCCCTGGGCGAAGGAGCTGCAGCCTAGAGAAAAGGGGATCCAAAAGCAGTAACTAGGAGGGGCCAACCCCACTTATCTGGCTGTCCTCACTTCAACACTTCCTTTAGTCCAACTACAGGGCTTTGTCCAATTTAATAAAATTTTGTTAACTCAAAATTGGGCTGCTATGTGAATACGGAGAACCTGTCTAGAATTCATTAAAACAAGAACCAACAGTAATAAGAGCGCGGATCAAATGACTTTCCCATTTCTTCCCGGAGAAAACAGGCCAGAAAAACAGTTATCAAGAAGGGCTGTCTTTCGTTATCTTCCCACCAGCTCTCCAGTTGCCCTGGCTATTGCGGTGGCCTTACAAGGGTGTCCTGAGAAGAGCAGGAACGCTCACAAACAAAGCCTGTTTCATTTCTCCTCCTGCACACTGACGTACTCAAGTCTAACAGTCTGTGGACAAATACCACGTCAATCAAATTGGCTTTTGCAAATTGAGCTGGGAATTGAGGCTCTCTGCTGCAAACTAGCCACTCCAGAGGTTTGACAGTCTGTCAAACTGACTTAAGTTTGAGTGTTGGAAACCCCACTACCACCTCAAGACTAAAAAGATGCAAGAAAACACGCATGCAAATAAATAAAGTAGCAAAATACTAAAAATAAAATTAATCCAGCCAAAAGAAAATATGAGACTGAAATGAAGTTTATGCCCTGGCAATGCTGAAGCAAACATGGGCAACCTGTATATGATGGCTCTGTTGAACTTGTCTGTATTGGGTTTCATGGTCTAAGTTGATGAGGACGACTGACCAGGTCTCTTCCTCAAGAGGGCACCAGATCTCATTCCAGATGGCTGTGATCCACCATGTGGTTGCTGGGAATTGAACTCAGGACCTTTGGAAGAGCCGGCAATGCTCTTAACCACTGAGCGAGCCATCAATTGTATTTCACAAAACAGAAAATCACCATTCACTTTAATCCAACGTTAAGTCAGTGCTGGCCAAATCACAATTTTAACCAAAACCAACTAATTCAGATGGTTCCAATATTTAAGTCGGCCGGGGCTTTTCTTTTGTTATTTAACTCTTCTATTATATGTATGTATGTTCTGCATATATGTCTGAGCACCATGTACACGCATGGCCCACAGAGTTAAGAAGAGAGTGTCTGATCCCCTGGAACAGAGTTACAGAAGCCTGTGAGCCACCTGTGGTTGCTGGGGTGTGAATCCGGTTCCTCTGTAAGAACAAGTACTCTTAACCCCTGAGCTACCTTTCGAGCCCCTGGGGAGCAGGAGCTTTTCAAGAGACTTAAGCTACAAAAGACCTGTCTGTGATGGGGAATTTCATGAGCCAACCTGACAGGGCCACAGGCTGCCTGTAAGCATGTGCACCATTCTGGGTGTGCTGGAAGGACCTTCCTGGATGGTTAGCAATCGAATCTAGAACAAGGGAAGCAAAGTGCCTTCCTCAGTGGGGCTCCAATCCAGACCCGACAACCAGGTGCTAATAAGTATCTCCTTTGTACCTGTGAGCATCACTAGTTCCTGACCCCAAACCCATCATCCCATTAGACAGGGAGTAAGAACTATCTAGTTATCTGTTAGCCTAGATAGCTTCCCCCTTGCAAGAGATAGAAACCTAATCTACCTTTCTGTGTTGATGCTAGCCACAAATAACTTTTCTGTGCAGCTTAGTCTGTTAGGTTAGAAGGTCCTCCTCAGGCCTGAGGATGCTTCAGAGGCCAAGATGAATGGGGGTGGGGGGAACCCCATACAGTCTACGGGCACTAGTTCATTTCCTTTTTGTCCAACCACATTTCCACACAGCTGTCCACGCTTCAGTCATGACTATGTAATGAATTCTCAGGACAGGGCCCAGAAGGCTTCCACATGGCCCAGTGCTGAGGCTCCTGGGGAGCAGTACACAAAAAGGTAGCCAGGAACTTCTGCCCCTGCTTCCCACACCACAGCCTCTGCATCTGTTCGCCAGCGTAGATTCTAACAGCCTCTAATAGTTTCTAATGCCATGAACATTACGAATAAACCACTCAGATTACTAAAGCCTCAGGGAGGGGTTGCAGGGGTCCCAGTTTATAACTGGTCCAGCAGACCCATATGTAAAACAGCAGCCTGGACTTGTAATTGGCATCTGAAGTGGGGGAGGTAGAGACTGAGCCCTCAACCCAGTAGACCTGACACTGTCTCCAAGTAGATAAGAGGACACCCACCTGGAAACTGATGCAAAACTCACTTGTTTTCTGGCTGGCAGGAACTCCCATCACCCTCTGAGGACATATCTTTTGCATTTATCCTGATATCCAAGGAGAAGAAACACTGCCTTTTCTAATAGCAAGACTCTGCCTGTCTTTAGGCTGGGAGAATGGTGCACAAGCAGGCTGCACCACCAGCTCTGCAAGAATGCTAACGACAACAACATCCCAGTGCAAAACCTGGATCTCTCAGCCTCTGGAACGGTGTGAGTCCATTTCTTCCAACAAATTGCAACATATGTACAATAAATCATATAGCTACAGAAATGTAGATAACTTATTACACAGAATACATACATTTCTTTTTATCCACATACACACATACATATATTTGCATATGTACATATCTATCACCTATACATCAGTTAATTTTTCAGGCAAACTTGGACTGATGATCAGGAGGTGAAAAACCAAGTTTTCACCCTCTGAGAATTTACTGCACAAGAGAAAAATGGATTGGTACCGAGAGCAGAAAGAGCTACATCTAGAGGAGTCACTAGGGTAAGTTGCTCTGCCAACTACACACAGAAGCACACTGTTAAAGACACTGTGAAAGGCCCAGTACGTGGGAGGCAGAGGCAAGCAGATCTCTTGTTTTTCACAGTGAGTTCCAGCACAGCTAGAGCTAAATAGTGAGATCCTGTCTCAAAAAGAAAGACAGAGAGAGAGGGGAAAAAGGAAACACACACACACCGCAATACCATACAGCACTATACATGTGACTACTGCCAGGCAAAAGCCCAGAAACTTTCCTTCTATGTAAAAGGACCAGACAGAACCAGACCGAAAATATGCTTTGGCTTCAAAGGCCACAATTTCTATCCCAACTCTATACCCATAGCTAGATGAGATGAAGATGGATGGTCCAACTGCATTGTGGCTTTGGGTTTTTACTGTTGTTCTTGAGTTAGGGTCTCACCAGATAGACCAGGCTGGCCTAAAACTTACTACGTAGACTAGGCTGACCTCGAATTAAAGAGATCTGCCTGGCTCTGTCTCCCAAGTGCATCACCAGGTCTGACGCAACTGTGTTTTAATAAAACCTTATGGATAACGAAATATTAAAATTTTATTCTTCAACCTACTCTGAAAAATGATCCTGGCTGGAAGACCACACAGGACTACGCATCTGATTAGAAAGAGAAATACATTTTTTTAATTAGAGAAAAATAAAACAGAAGACTGAAAAACTTCCATAATAGTACCTTAACAGTGGAACATTTTTTTGCTAGATTATTTGGAGAGTAATCCAAGTATAATCTGTTTCTGCAAATCATCTTAGAAGAGAGGCCTGTTGCGGAAAAGTGTTGACCAAGTTCTGTGCTCGACCAGACATTTCATCAGCATGGACCCATGAGAAGCAGAACAAATCCCCTTCAAATG